AATAGGCCCCTATATATATATATATATATATATATATATATATATATATATATATTAAAGAATAAACCACATGCAATGATATGGCCTTTTCTAAAAACAAGAAAATGATTTATCTTTTTTCTCCTTTTCTCAAGTTTCTCCTATTTTAATATTTGTTTTTTATGTTTCATATTCACATTTAAGATCATTTAATTAGGTTGTTTCAACTTATTCATGTTCACTCTAATAAGTACTCTTTTAACTCTCATTATTTCTCTCTATTCGGTTATAATTTTTCATCTTCTCTTCATGGTACACTTCTATAATAATCTCTCAATTCTTCATCTCTATTCATGTATAATTTTGTGGTACATCTCTATGATAACTTCTCTATTAATCTCTCAATTCTTCCTCTCTATTCATGTATAATTTTGTGTTACACCTCTATGATAATCTCTCTATTAATCTCTCTATTAATCTCTCAATTCTTCCTCTCTATTCAGTTATAAATTTGTGGATGCGATTTGCATTTTTTGTTGATTTGAGGTGTCATTCAATAAGACAAATCATAGTATGGTTTTTGCTTATGTATGTATAATATTTTTTTTTTAGTTGGAGATATTCACATTAAAGTTGAAATTATGTAGGCATATGGAGTTTTTGTGTGTGGATAAAGTGACATACGAATCCTTGAAGAAATAGTGTAACATTGGATAGAAAAAAAAACCTCTAAATTATTCCTCTCTATTCAGTTTTTAAGGTGATATGCACTTTTGTTTATTTGAGGCGTCATTCAATAAGAAAAATATGATATGGGTTTTTATTAATGTAAGTATAGTATTTTCGTCTTTTAATTGGAGATATTCACACTAAAATTGGATCAGAGATATTCATATTAAAGTTGAAATTATGTAGCCATATGCAGTTTTTGTGTGTGGATAAAGTGACATATGAATCGTTAAAGAAATAGTGTAACATTGTTTAAGAAAAAAAAATCTTTCAATTCTTCCTCTCTATTCAGTTTTTGAGATGATGTGCACTTTTGTTTATTTGAGGCTTCATACAATAAGAGAAATATGATATGAGTTTTTGTTAATGTAAGTATAGTATTTTCGTCTTTTAAATGGAGATATTCACAGTAAAATTGGAATTATACAAACAAATGAATCTCTCAATTCTTTCTCTCTATTCAGTTATAATTTTGTGGGAGTGATTTGCATTTTTGTTGATTTGAGACGTCATTCAATAAGACTAATCATAGTATGAGTTTTTGCTTATGTAAGTATAGTATTTCGTCTTTTAGTCGGAGAATTCGCACTAAAGTTGGAATTATGTAGGCATATGTTTTTTTTGTGTGTGGATAAAGTAACATATGAATCTTTGATGAAATAAGGTAACATTGTTTAGCATAATAATCACTTTATTATCTTCCAATTCTTCTTCTTTATTCAGTTTTTGTGGATATGTTTTTTTTTTTTTGTTGTTGTTGATTTGAGGCGTCTTTCATGAAAACAAATATGATATGAGTTTTTGTTTTTCTTGATGTTAATCGGTTTATTGTATTTTTTTTCCTTTTTAGCATTGAGCTTGGAAATTATTTTTTAATATTTTTAATTCTTAAAGAAGAAACCAAACATAATGAGGTGTTATCCTCTAAACATTAGAAACCCATTTTTTACTTAGATTTTTGATTTTTTTAAATATTTGATATATGTAAAAGACTTTTCCATCCCTATATTTAAAATATGAAATTCAATATAATACATATCTTTTATTTTACATAATTTTATTAAAACCTCTATTTTCAGAATTTTTTWATAAATAAACCAAACTATGAACTGTCTAAAACAAATCTAAAAAGTTTGAACAAGTCAAATGAAAAAATAACAAATCAATCAGACTCTTATATATCTAGAATAGTCATAATACTAGCTATTATTTTTATTTTATGCAATAAAAAAAAATGGTTACAATAAGGTTCTTGACCAATGTTGCAAACGATTATATCACGAACTAATATAAGCAAATTACAAAAATATTCAACAATTATATCAATGTAAATAACAACACAATTATTGCTTGGTGAATATAAATATTTTATAAGAATATATGTAGAAGATAAATTGATATGTATTATAGTAAAATAATTCTCTTAATACACCTCATAATTATAATCAATATTTTAACATATTTTTTTATGATTTTGAACCAATAACAAAATTTGATATAATAAAAGATTGGTATATAAGATTTAATAATTTTACATATATATATAATATTAAAAGAACAACCAAAAATGATAAGTTAGATTCATATATCAAAGGTAATGTTGATTCTTATTAGTTTAATATATAAATGTGATCATCGACTCATTTAGCTAATTTCAATAAATTTTTAAAAAAATTATCGTCATCATGCAATGCGCGATGTTAAACACTAGTATAAAATAAAATGTAAAAGTTTGACAACAAATCATATATGCAATGAAATCAGGAATATGGAAAGATGCAATCAAATGATGCAACTTTTGAACAATTTTTTCACCAAAGGATCATTCTTTCTCCCAAGCTTGATGAGATCCAAGTCAATAAAGATGAAAGATGCAGTCCAGATATATGGTCCATGCCAAGACCAATAAAAATGAAGAAACTAAAACAAATATTGATTGAAAACTTGAATACTCAATGACAACAACAATTCAATTCTTAGCCTGAAACTGAAACTGAAACTGAAACTGAAACAAACAAAACTGATTTGCATCAACAACCTTCCCACCAAACAACCCCAGAAACAAGTCATGATCACTTCTTTCTTTTCTTATTTTGGAAGGAATCACTTTTGTTGAAACCCTTGAAATCATTAGTGGTTTCAGCTGTGTTCTGTTTCTTCATTCCTTTCTTTCCTCCAAACCCATATTTTGAATCTTTAAACTCTCTACTCTTCCTCTTCCCAGCTCCTCCTTTTCGATCTTTTCCAGCACCTGCCTTCGCTTTCCCACCTGAACGATCCCATGGTGAAACCCCCGGCCTCTTGTTCTTCGTAGAAGACCTCTGAGACTCTTTTCCATCGGCAAACGGCAAACCCATATCACCACCTTCTTTTTCACCTCCGGCAAACCCACTTTGTTGGCGTTGTTTCCTCCACTTCTTAACGGATTCTATCTCATCTTTCTTCTGTTTCACCCTCTCTTTCTGTTTCTGTGCCTGCACTTCTTTCGCCTTCTTTTTGTTGTCTCTAGCCTTTCTTCTCTCTTCAGCTTCCTCAATTCTTCTCTTCTCTACAAGAAGTCGGCCCTTGATTTTCTCCATGTGGGAATCAGTTTTCACCATTTCAGCATAATAGTCAGACGGCCGAAGAAAAGGGAGACCCATGGTTTGAAATTTCACAAAAGCCTGACGTGTGCCCTCCAATGCTTGAGTATAGAAAGCAAGCTCTCGGTTTAGGTCATCATTAACGTCTACCTCTTGCTCTTGGTTAATATCGAGTGAAAGTTTATGGATCCATTCCACATCCTCAGGCCAGCTGATATCTCCAAGTTTATCAAGTATTCCATCCTTGTTGTATATGGAGGTTTTTGAAGGTTCAGTTAACCTTACATCCTCATCCCCTTCTGATTCTGATTCTGAATCTGTTTCAGGGTCAGATTCAGAAGCCTCCATATCAAGATCTTCTATTTCATCTTCTGGTAGTGTCTCTTCCAACAATTTTGGTGTGCGCTTCTTTATAGCCATCTAGTAAGATATACCAAGAACCAATCATTCAGCATCACTGACCTTCCTCTCTAGAATTAATTCATGAATAATTACCTAGTTTATTGTCTGATAATTGTTAAGAAGTTCAGATTATTTGCTGTAATCATGAAAGCTGTTAAATTTACGTGAAAAAATAACAACATGAATGACCTGTGATTAACAATGAAGTTATTCAATGTTCCAAAAAACAATATGCTGTTAACAAGCCTAAACACAAATAAAAAGAAAAGAAGAGTAACAAAGTGATGCTCATATACAACTTGATGATTTGAATGGATGCATATATACAACTTCATATTGATGATTTGAGTCATTAAATAGATGAGATAATATGAAGCAGTAACAAAAATCATAACCTAAATCTCTAACAAAAAACAGAAGCCTCTCAAAAACCACAGTAACAAAAACGTAATCCACATCTCTACATCAAGAACAAAAATCGTAATAAGCCTACAGTAACAGAAATCTTAACTCACATCTACATCAACAAAAATCGTAAACCACATCTACACCAACAAAAATCGTAAACCACATCTACATCAAGAAATCCTAACAGAGGAAGAAGCAAACATGGAGATGATTGAAAGAAATCGAAACAGAAACCGGAGGAATGAGGAGAGAAACAGACCAGTCGATCTAACATAACATCGATGAAGGAAAGAAGCAAAAATCATACCTGCAGTCGACCGCAAGAGGAAGGAGAGAAACGAGCGGAGTAATGAGAATGAAGGTGCAGCTAGGGTTTTAAGTTTTAACGAGGGTATTTTTGTATTTTTTTTAAAAATCTTCATATTTGATGGATTGCTTGGCATTCAATTCCATACTCCATGAAAGGTCGGAATGGAATTGACGATTCCAATTCATCATATTTCGTGACGAAGCAAACTCCCTCTAAAACTAAGTAAAGCATTGGAATGGAAAGAAACATAACCAAAACATCGAGAAGAACGAGTCGTTACAGAGAAGAAGAACACAAACCAACAAGTACACATACCGTCAGGAGCAGTAGCTTCTTCTTCAATATCGATTCAGAGTCCAAACCTAAACTCGTCAAGGAGCAGGTCAGCTAGGGTTTTATGACTGGTATTGTCTTTTTTAAATTGGGTTTGAATGATTTTAGTGCAAGTCACATGTTTAGTCCCTATAATTATATGGTTTAACGATTTTTGTCTTTTTCTTTTAAATTCAACATATCGTATCTATGAGGTTGCATTTTTATAACGAGTTGACTCCTTCTGTCAAAAAAATATTTGGATGAGGGCATTTTAGTCTTTTGATATTTTCTCAACATATGCATTAAAAATTAAATTATTATATATGTACATATTTGTGTGTGTCTATGTAATATGTTTGTGTAGCACCTCTCACCTCTCTGTAAACCAACCACCTCACCATGATTCACACTACTACCACACCACCTATCCATTGATGGCGATTGTGACGATCTTCTTATCGACAAAAAACACAAGCCGGCCTCAACCTGATGTCTTCATTTACGCTATATTTGTTACCCATATTCTTCGATGGTTTTTCAACCAGCATATAATGTAACCAGAGATGAGAGGCCATTAATTGGGAGGGAGTGGAGAATCGTAAATCAGATGTGATGGGATGGTACCATAAGCAATCACAAGTGTTGAAGCTCCAAAAGTAATACAAAACAAGAATAAAAAAAAAGCCAACGTTGCACCAGCCATAATTTATGTTCCTTTCTTACACTAAAGATTTTACCAAAAGCTTTTGTTGGAACGCCGACCCGGAACTTCTTCAAGAGGTTCCTTTTGATGCTCTGCGCACAGAAGCAATATCTGGCATCACTATTGTCATTTCTCAATTGATGATACTTCRTTTAGCTACTTAATAAGATAAGAAGACCCATAAAAAGATCAAGTAACGGAAGGTGGAAGGTCGATTAGGAAATGAGCTTTTCAAATCAAAGAATACGTTGATCGCAAAGCCTTCTTTCAGATAATTCGTTTAGAAAAAACACTCCTTAACTTATTAACTCAGGATCGGTAAAGGTCTTACTCTATTCCTTGTCAGGAATAGCRGCCTTAGAGCTTCTACTACTATCGGCCATCTAACTCTCCGGAAATCGGGGGTTTTTTCAGGGAACCAAACTGGACAAATCTTTCATGGTTTGTTTTGTTTCCTCTCGAGTTCTTTTCTCATTATATTTCATTATTTTATTGGTAATCGTATCCGGGGAAATGAATGGTTGGTGAAGATGTCTTAAATTCGTAGGTTGAACAAGGAAGATTGAATGTCAGACGATGGGGGGTGGGGGTCACCAACGGGTTGGGGGAAGAGGGAGCAATCTTTATTCTGGGGAGATCAATGTGGCATCATTTTTTTTGGAAGTGTATCTCACACTATGCCTAGACTAATCCCGACAAACAGTGACTGCAAAAAATCAGTCATGATAAACTTAGTGATCACAATTGTTATGTACGCTTAGAATCGAACCCTGACAGATGCGACATCATTTTGGTGGATGCAAACAAAAGATTTTTTATTTTTTAAAAGGAAAATAAGATAAAAACCAAAGAAAAAGACTAATATAACAATTGGGTTTTAAAAGAAACTTGTAACCTTAAACGCAATGGAAAATAAAATTATGATACGATAATTTAGAAAAACTTTTCTAAATCTAAAACCCAAAAGCCAGATTCAATGAGACATTTAATGAATTATAACAAACCATAGGGTGTTTTAGGAATGTACCTTTTAGATCTAGTGGAAAGTCTGATGTGGCACTTAGAAACCAAACAGGGTTTCCTCTACAGTCGATCCACACACGAACACGTGTAGATCCTCCACTAGGTGCTAGCTCCAAAAAAACCCTAAGTCTAAATATATGTATATAGACTGATAACCAAATTCAGTGGACTGATTTTATAGAAAAAACGAATTGGCCTAACACCCAATTTATATGAACTAGTATCATAGTCACCTTATAACTTCAAATAAGGTTTGATGTTTAAGTGTAAATAATATATAATTATTTAAAACTTTAAATAGTTATGCTTATTTACAGATAATACCCTATAACTAGGGGAGCTCATGAGTTGGGTTGATTGGGTTGAAGACATTTGAACAACACGGTTTGAAAAACCTTAATCTAACCAAACCCAAACCAAAGTGCAACCCAACCCAACCAAAACCATACGGGTTGGTCGGGTTGATACTTTGCTATATAAAGATATTTTTCTAACCTTGAATCTTTTATTTCTCTACTCATAATTTCTTTTTCATCATCAACCATTTGATATAATTTATCTATACTAATTATGTATATCATATTCAACTGATTTTCTCAATTTACATATATAACTGTGAACATATATATGAAGGAGTTATAAAAAGATATCAATAGATTGAAAATATATGTAAATGAATAGCGTACATGATAATGTAATTGTCTAATGTATATATTAGTAGAAATTCAACAATCACATTAAATCCAAGAAATAAAAGGATATCGGGTTCATTGGATTGGTTGGGTTCAAATAATAGTAACCTAATACCTACGGTTTGAAAATTTTACAACTCGATTAGACATCGGGTTGCTTCGGGTTGAGTTATTTCGCATTGAGTTGGTCAGGTTGGTCGTTTTTTTTAGCACCCCTACTTGTATTGTCATAATTACGTTTTAACACATATTCTACGATTATTCTTTAAGAATAATTATTTAATTGTCAATCATGACTTTTGGGTTACTTTTAAATGGAAGCAAACATATTCTTTGTGTGCGACCTTATAGGTTTACATACTCCTTAGCGGTATTGCTGTGTGATACGTGTCGTGGGCATATAATAACTTACAATCTTCCACTTGCACATGACATATAGTGACACAAACGATGGTAAACGTCTAGCAACACGTCACCGCTCCCAAGGCTATGTAAATGTGTTTTTCCTTCGAACAATTTTGATTGATTCAATCAATCATATGGTAGTATCATCCCTCTATCCTTTTGCTTCACAATATTTTGTTTTGAATGTAAGACATATATCTATCTCATCTTTCAGAGTTCAAAGATTATGTTTTTTGATCCCAGCATATTTGATTCAGACATGTGCTATTAGTTTAACTAATCCACTTGTCTATGGCCATGTGAATCAAACTATGTCATCGAGGACCCCAGAAATATCTCTCTCAACTTGGGAGGAGAAAATCTCGTATTGCATGTACATGACTTATACAGAATTCATGTCATACCAACATAGCCCTTATTATTACCTAGTTAGGATAACGCTACATTAAAGTATAACACTCCTTCTGCAGTAGGTACCAATGCACACTTTAGGTCTGAGGATAGGAGTGTCCACCATTTCAGGACTCATCTTATGACGCCAATCTATGAGGTGATTCTGACTGCGGGTCTTGTCCAACACCTTCCCCTTAGACATGTGTATGTGACTCTAGTTGCACCCAATGCACTTCTAACTTGGACTATGACCAGACTTCACAATTATCTTTATTTATCACCAGTCCCCTGGTAATAATTCATCAAGAATAATTTAAACAAAATGATCATCCTAATAATGAACACATAAATGTTTAATGTAAATACTCATATCCAATATGCTAAAACAAATAAAAGCATAACTGTTTTATGTTCAAATAATTTAAAGTTTAGTAAACTTACAAATCATACTAGAATGTTACAAAACCTCAAGCCTATTGAATTGGTATGAGTATCATGCTTGTTTTGACTCATAAGCTTGGTTAGAGGGTCTGCTAGATTATCTTCTGATCAAACTTTACATATTTTCACGTCACTTCGATCAATTATATCTCAAATTAGGTGGTATTGTCTTAGAATACGCTTGGAGAGCTGATGTGACCTTGCTTCTTTTGCTTGAGCTATGACACCCTCATTATCGCAATAAATCTCCACATAGTCACATAAGCCAGGAACCATTCCTAGGTCTGAGATGAATTTCTTCATCCAAACATCTTCCTCGCGGAGTTCGATGTTGCAATATACTATGATTATGTAGTTGAGTTTGCTATTGTACTTTGCTTGTAGCTCTTTTAGCTAACAGCTCCTCCGTTTAATACAAACACATATCCCGACTGCGATTTAAAGTTATCACGGTCAGTTTGGAAACTAGCATCTATACCCTTGGATACACAGATCTCTTTCTTAACCATCATATGGCAAGAACATATCCTTAGTTCTTCTCAGATACTTTAGGATATTTTTCACTGCTACCCAGTGAGCATGACATGGGTTTGATTGATATCTACTCATCATGCTTAGGGCATACGAGACTTCCGGTCTAGTACACAACATGGCGTATATGATTGAACCGATGGCCGAAGCGTGAGGAACACCATTCATATGGTTCATGTCCTCTTTAGTGCTAGGACACTGAGTTTTGCTCAGTTGTATGCCATGGACCATTAACAAGTTTCCTCTCTTGGAACCCTCTATCTTGAAGCGTTTCTAGATCTTGTCAATGTATGTACTATGGATTAATCCAATTAAATGCTTAGATCTATCTCGATAGATCTTTATTCCAAGGATATATGTTGTCTCTCCTAGATCCTTCATCGAAAACACTTCCCTAGCCTTATTTTTACTCCTTCAAGTATTGGGATGTCGTTTCCAATAATCAATATGTCATCAACATATAAGATCAAGAATACTATTATGTTCCAACTGACCTTCTTGTATACACAAGGTTCATTTTCGTTTTTTACAAAATCAAATTCCATGATTTTCTCGTCAAAATGAAGATTCCAACTATGAGATGCTTGCATTAGTCAATAAATGGACCTCTGCAATTTGCATACCTTTTCAAGATACTTTGGATGCTTAAAACCTTCTGGTTGTAATATATATACATTCTCGTTTAGAGTTCCGTTAAGGAACGCAGTTTAACATCCATTTGCCATATCTCGTAATCATGATACGCATCTATGGCCAGAAGAATACTGATGGATTTAATCATAGCTATTGGAGAAAAAGTCTCATCATAATCTACTCCTTGAGTCTGAGTGAAACCTTTTTCTATCAACCTAGCTTTATAGGTATGCAAAATTTCATCC